TGCCCCGTTTTCACAGGCTGATCGATCAAGCAGCCGACTCTGCCGCAGCGTGGGATGCGATCCGCGCCGAATGCGTGTCTGAGATCGGAGCGAACATTTTGTTCATAAAGCAGAAATTTAGCAACCTGAAGCAACGGACAGGCCAGTCCGTTGTTGATTACTTCGAGGAAGCAGAGGATCTGCGTGAGCAAATGGTTGCAGTGGGCTCGAAGATCGACGACTGCCAATTCGCCCTGGCTATCTTGGGTGGTTTGCATAAGAAATTCCAAATGCAGCAGACGCTTTTTGCTGCCAAGCCGCCAAGTGACATGAAGCTTTCGGAAATCAAGGCCGCTCTACTCCTGGCGGAGCGGATGCAAGGTGACAACAATGCAGAGTGGGCCCAGGCCGAGGCCCTGGCGTTTAGCAACCGGAGCAGTGGGGTAGGCCACCGTGGCTTCGGTGGCGACTACCGTAGTGGAGCTGGTAAAGGCCAGGGAAATGTCAACGTCGGGGCGAGTACCAGCTCTGGCGGGCCTGATGTTTCCATCAACCCCTACGCAACCCATAAGTGCCATAAATGTGGTGTCCTGGGGCATATCAAGTCTCAGTGCCCGCTCGTCACAAGAGGCAACAACAGGGGCAACAACTGACGCAGCAAGCAGCTGGTAATGGCCCTAACCACCTCCACCACCTCCGAAGCCAAGGAAATCCAGGCAACAGCTGAGAAGTCGCTTGCAAAGCTGGCTTGGAAAGTGGACTCGGCCGCGGCCGTCCATGTTACAGACGACCGGTCCGACTTCAGCGAGTACGTACCGCTCACGGACGGCATAGTCCTAGAAGGTGTGGCGGGTGCGATTTGCAAGACGGTTGGAGTGGGTACCGTCCTGTTAGAAGCAGAGGGAGAGAAAGGCAAGATTAAGATTACCCTAAAGAATGTGTATCATGCGCCGGGATTAGGTCACAAGCTGATTTCGGTAGGCGAACTAGGTCTGAAGGGTTACCACGTGGATTTTCGTGGGCCGGTTGCTGTGATTAGGCAGCCGAAACGTCTTGTCAGCCGAGGCCCGCGGATAAGGAAATACGCAAGCCTGGAGTGGGAGTACGGGGAGCAAATCCCGTGTGTGCGGGTGGGCACCCATTACTACCTAAAGGCGACCCGATTGGGCCAGGGGGAGTGTGTTCAAACCCTGGCGGTCTTGTCTGAATCTGCGGGGCTTTGGCATCGTCGGTTCGGACACCTAGGGTACGGTAATTTAGAGAAGCTCGTGTCTGATGAAATGGTCACTGGTATGGGCCTGAGCGCGGCTGAAATCCGGGAGAAGGTGAAGGAAAAGAGTATCTGTGAGCCGTGTGTGAAGGCCAAGCATACCCGCGCGTCTTTTCCTCCGTCTGGGAATGCAGCAAACCGTGTTTTGCAGCGAGTGCATATGGATGTGTGTGAGATGCCTGTTCCGTCTATGGGCGGGTCAAGGTATGTCGCCACATTTCTGGATGAGCATTCGAGTTTTGCAGTGGTGCGCTGTGTAGGGACGAAGGGAGAAGTTCCGGAAGCGGCCCAGGAAGTATTGCAGCTGTTAGAGACCCAATCGGGCAAGAAGCTGCTAGCAGTTCAGTCGGATCGCGGTGGGGAGTATTTGAATAAG